CTGGCGACTCCCTGGGGGAGAGCCTTCTCTGTTGCAGCTCCGGCCCTCTGGAACGAGCTCTCTATTGAGATCCGGACCCTTACTACCCTCCCGGCCTTCTGCAAAGCCACCAAGTCCTGGCTGTTCCAGCTGAGAAGCATCTACCTCCATGGAAATTGTGAATGTTGGTTTTGTTTTTAATATGTTGTCTTTGTTTCGCTCCCCCCCTTCCCTTGTCTTTTGTGAGCCGCCCGGAGTCCTCTGGGAGTGGGCGGCATACAAGACAAATAAATAAATAAACAAATAAATAAATAATAAACACAAAGGATTTTTTAAAATCTCTTTGTGCTGGACTGACAATGCTCTAACAAACTTTAACCAAGCAAGAAGCAGAAATTTCTCTAACTCAGATATTTAACTATTACTGGTATATATTACACAGGAAGGACAGAATCAGAAGGTTATCTCAAACACTTATGGCTTTAATCCCAGTCCTTATGCTTCCGTCCTCCAATTTTATAAAAACCAGCAACAAAATACTATTTGTTACTAATGACAGTGTAAGATAAAACTCCATTTTAAATTTACAGGTGCTATCTAGTAGGTTTTGGCCATATCAGAAGAGACTCTCTTGGACTGTGTTTGTGCAAAGTGTCTACTTCTATTGTATTGGTGATCCCTTCCAGCTACATTCCCCCCCCCAAAAAAAAAAATTAGCCACTCTAGTATAGAAGGTAAAGGTTAATGTTTCCAGTTGTGTTTGACTCTAGTGAATGATGTTCATCTTCATTTCTTAGCCAAGGGAGCCAGTATTGTCCAAACACATTTCAATGGTCATGTGGCCATGACTATATGCCGACATATGCTAGGCATGGACATTTGTGGATGTACATTTAAGCCAACCTATTTGTCAAAAATTGCATATACTTTCAGCATAATCCACTATCTAATTTCTTCTCTAAGTCAGTCAACAATTGGGGAACATTTATATTTCAAAAATGTTTCACTTTCTCATTTCCTCAGCTTTTCTGGTGTGGTGGTGGTTGTTTTGTCTTCTGCTTTAGAAGATCTGAAGTGCTCTTCTTGTTCTGCCTTCTAACTTCACACTTTCTCTACCTGCCTTCACTCCCCCCCTCCTTTATTTCCTATACCTATGATGTTTCCCTCTTTCCCTGATAATTCACAACACCAGCCTCCTATTGCTACTTCTTTACAAGTCCCTGTTATCTCATCTTCACAAGTATCACCGAGCTCCGATAAGGTAAGCCTTTGCAATGCATATGTCTGCATAAACATTTGAGAAAGATACCTTTCTAACTGCCAGGAAGTCTCTCTTTTTCTTGCTCTTTGTGCTCCCTCCCCATTAGATTGAAAGAGTAGCTCAGTTTTATTATCCTTTTCAAGGTCACACAGCATACAGTGCTGATAATTGTCAGTGCTGCTTTTACATCTAACTCAATTATTGCGTTGAATTCAGAACACGACCACTGCAGTCCTATACAAATGCTAGGCAAATTTGTCGGTGAAAACAAATTGGTTTTCAGTCACCATAAGCCTTTACTGCTAACAGCTTTCCTTTCTTTTACGTCTTATTTTGAGGGTGGGTGGGTGGGTGTAGTGGGGGGACTGTATAATGGGGCAATAAGACACTGCAGATCAGAATCACTTTATGTGAAGATATTGGAATTTTATGAGCCTCCTTCTCACTGACCTTCTGGATTACTCAGTATAAGCCTTTGTTGATGCCTAACCTACAAGAGAAAATTTGTTTTAGCGCCTGAATGATTAAACAAGTAACACTTTTCTTCCCTTTTAAATCTCAGTTTGAGAGGGTGGCCGATACATCGGAGTCCTCCTGCAGCGTCACACTCAAAAGCTACACAATGCACTTGGAGGTAGTGAACTCTATTGGGTGGAGCAAGTCTGCAAACATTGAGTGTCTTGAATTTTTGTCATAATATCTTGTGTGGGGCTTCATTTGTTGCTGTGTGGCATTTTGGACCTGAAATTAGGTTGATATGATTTCGAGTATAATTTTGACTGCCGGGGGTGGGGGGGAAGTAGCTGGACAAATGAAGAATATTTGGTTTTATGTTCTGTAATAAAGGAGCAATGCAATCAAGTTTGCTTACCTTTGACTGCTGAAAATTAAGCTGATGTGCCACCCTTCATAATATAACTCTTAAAGCACAAAACTTTGGTAATCTGTGAGCAGATAGTTAAACTTGTCAGTGTTGCAGGTTAAGAGGGGCTCCTTAGACTGGATTGGCATTTGTGCTGGTGATCTGTGTGTCTTGCATGCTGACGTCCAACTCGTGAGGCTACATTGTAGTAGACTATGCTTCCCGTGGGGAACAATAGCTGAAGGGATAATTGATGTACATATTGCATTTGTAAACTCTGCTGGAATATAGCCTACCTCTACCGTCATCAATTAAGAATGGTCTACAATAAGGGTGTCAAACTCAAGGTCCACGGGCCAGATCCAGTCTGTGAGGTGCTTAGATCTGGCCTGTAGGGCCACCCTGGAAACAGCGGACTGGCCCACGGTGCCTCAGCAAGATAAAACAGTCGTGACAGCCTCCTGCCACTCTCTACCATCAAAAATGGAACTTGGTGACCTGCACACACTCCCGCCGAGCTCCATTTTCATTGGCAGAGGCGGGCAAGAGGCCATCACGGCTGAAAACAGAGCCTGGAAGGGCCACACATGGTGACCTTGCCCACCCTGGCCATGCCCACCCCTGCCCCTGAAGTCAAATGCAACCCTGATGTGGCCCTCAATAAAATCAAGTTTGACACCCCTTGTCTACAATAAGGAAGAGTACTTAGGGGAAGGTGCAATATGAGAATACCTTGGTTCTTAAAAGGTAAAAAAACATTTGTTTGCTTCTATTCCTAGGGGCTGTCAGATACAAAAATCCCAGGACCAGCATCACCTTTGAGCATACACAGCAGTAGAAACATTTCTGTCCTTCAGGGGCCAAGCCAAAGCCAGATAGAGGATAGGTTTTCCCAAGATTCCCTGCATCGAAGTATCAGTCAGCTCATTGAAGCATCTGAGAAAAAGTCCTCGGTAGAAAATACTGTTTGGGATGCCATTATTCATGGCCATGACAGCAATTTGGTAAGTCAATTTACAAAGACAACTGATTTAGCTTCAAATACTGACATACCATAATCTTTGTAACTAATGTCAATCATGCTAAATAACCCAATGGTAAAACGAGACCAATGGCCTTTGTGGGTATTAATATTAATTGTGCATATGCGCTAAGTCATCCAGTCCTTTCCAGATCTTCTGAACTTTACTACCGTAAGGTAGGCAAGCACAATCAGTAACCAGAAACTGTGCAAGCTGCAGTACATAATAGGCTTAGAAAATCAATCTGTTGGGGGAAAATGCCTCTTCTCCTAATATGCAGCATATGCATTTAGCAGTGCATGTTGAATTGTTCTCTAAGATGGGTATACAAATCTTTTAAATAAATAAAATGTCCGAGAGTGAAGCAATGTTATCCTACTATATAAAATTAGGCAGCATATATGTTAAGTTCATTTAATTTTAACACTCTTTGTCTGCAAAATCTATTCACTTTGGAACTTCATCCATAACCTTCCTTGTGATAAATATTATCCCCTATTCTATACAGTGGTTTTCTCAGCCAAGGATATGCTGAAACATAAAGTCCCAAGTGGCAACTACAAAGAGTGTGCAAATTTGGGGAAACCAAATGTAATAATCATCTTTGATTTTAAGAGCTCATAGCTGCATTCAGTGTTTTGAATATTTTTTGAAATTTTTGAGGAGAGGCAAACAGTGAATTTCGCTGGGTCAGCATGGTCTTTTACTTAAGTAAATTATAGGATTAGATTAACCAGCAATAAAACTTTGTTGATTTTAAAAAATAGCCTGAATGAGGACTCAATGTGTTTATTTTGTAACTCTTGTCTTCTTAAAATTGCTTTAAGTGTGCAGACAATGAAGATCTTGTGAGCACTATCAAAAGCTTCAGTACTGTCACCAAGCCACATACATCATTTACTGATACACACTTGTAGGTTATTTAGCCGTTGCCACAGAACAGAAAAATATGGACTCTTGACTATTTTCTCTTTGTAGTTATTGTGAAGTAATCCTTCTGAAATGTTTCTAGTGTTTATGAATTACATCTTGAACTGTATGTATGTGAAAGCTATTTTCTTTTTATCAAAACTTAGAAGCTTCTTTTCTAGTAACACATTGTCTAGAGCAAATGTATTTATTTGAGAGGTACATATATTTAATGCATTTTTTTTTTGCAAATAAACAGTACTACAGAAACCTTTATTCAGCTCATTGCAGGAATTGATTGAATAAAATGGTGAAAAAGTAAAGATACACACAAATTTAGCATAGGCAGGAAATTAAGGAACAATATTGAACTCTTCACAAAAATTAATTACTAAAAACCTTTAATTAATAAGAAATTAAGATAATCAACAATCTTGCTAAAACAACTTAAGAGTACATAAAAGAAATGCTTAATTATACTTTATTATGATACTATGCTTCAATTAGTTCCTTCGGCCATACAGCAAAATCTTTCAAATAATTTATTGGTTATAGATAGGGGTAAAGTAACCAAAATGTAAATGTATAGCTATTCTATCTTGACTTTTCCATGCTTACATAGTAAAATATGCTTGTGTGGGAAAATGCTTCCTTTGTGTCAGTAATTAGCTTAACTGAATGTTTTTCTGCTGGCTGTAGCTGATATTCTTTAGTGTTCTGTTAATTCTGATACTCACATGATCCAATGTCAAATGCTATACTTTGTAATAAAAATCATGGCATTTCTCTAAGCGGAAATATACCTATTAGTCCCATATTAACTACTATGGCCATGGCACATATATAGTTCTGCTTCTGTGGCAAAGAGATTAACATTTCAAGCCTGGGAAGTTCAGAAGCAGACCACTGTGGTGGCAAATATGTACTTCAGAAGACAAAGCCACTGTAAAGCTTTGGTGCCCTAATAGAAAAAAGGCGGACAAATTTGAATTAACAGCACTCCGAACTATAAAAACCAGAGTTGTGAGGAATAAGATTTCTATAAGTGCTCAGGGCAGCAGAGACAAACCTGTGCAGCGTAAGATATACTGATCAAGGCTGTTAATACAGGTAGTCCTCAACTTACAGCAGTTTGTTTAGTGACCATTCAAAGGTACACTGAAAAAAGGAATTTATGACCATTTTTCACACTTCCTCAGAGTCACCGGATCAAAATTAAGACACTTAGCAACTGACATATTTATGACAGTTGCAGCATCCTGGGGTCGTGTGACCTCTTGCAACCTTCTGACAAGCAAAGTCCAAGGGAAGCCCGATTCACTTAACGACCATGTTACTAATATAACTGCAGGGAATCACTTAACAGATGTGGCAAGAAAAGTCGTAAAATGGGGCAAAGCCCACTTAACAAAATTGTGGCTCAATTCTGGTTGTAAGTTGAGGACTACCTGTGCAGAATTTCAAGTGTTCTTCATCATTATTTTTTAATAGTTCATATCAAAACTGATCCTTCACAATCAGAAATGTAATATATTGTCAAGCTGCAGGATATTGTTTCAAATTAAAAAATGATTTTCGTTTGTTTCATTGTGTCCCCTTTATATTGATCGATTGCATTATTTTTTTTACAAGTCGGTCGAATGTTGTTAGCACATAGCTGTGAATAAACATTAGTGCACAGTAACCTTACTTTTTCTGTTTCATAAGAAAATAACTTGCATCTTTAGGAAGATATAAAGTATCTGAAGTATAAAGTCACTTACCTTTGACTAAATAAGGTGAATCAGTCCTGAGTCCCTCTCAGTTGTCAAACAAACAATTATTTAACTATTTTCAAACAGATTCATGAAAGCTGTTTTGATATAAGTCAAGTGTAATCAAGCAAGATGATAAAACAGTATGGTAGAACATATAAAATTCAAATGTCAAGTGTTCATTTTAAGAAAAACCAACAACAGTCAAGAGAGTAGAGTTTAAAATGTCTGGAAATTTTAAATCCTTATTATACATTGTATAATTCATATTAAAGTGGTGGGTTTTTATTCTTAATTGTGAAGTCATTTGGAGAGAGTGGGAGCTACAACTTTCATTACGTACCCATCACATTTTCTATGGAAGATTATTAAAAAACATAAGCATTCAAAAGTTGCCATGCTTATGTTTATTATCAGATTTATATCTTATAACAGGGCAGGCTTATAGCTTTGTATATTTTATTCTATGTTGGTGGTGTTACATTGATACAAAATCTGTCTAAATATTCAGCAAAGAATATTGAAGGATCAAGTATAAGCCTGGCTTTGGGATATCATATTTCAATTCTTGCCCTTTTTCATATTGCAAATAAGGGAATAATTATCTACTTAAAAATATGCTTATGATTTCTGAAAGCATACAATAAAACATCACAAAGAGGCTCAGAGAACAGACTCTATTTGTGCAAGACTCAGTAGAATCCTGGTTTTCTTCCAACCTATCATATGCAACTGAGGACATTCAAGGCTATTATCATTAAGGGTCTCTATGAAACCAGAGATCTGTAAGAATGTAATTTGACTGGACTGAGGGAGAAAGGAAAAGCAAGAAGAAATCTCAATATTGCTTGTGCCCTTGCCAAAGAATTAAAAGACACTTTCATGCACAGGTATTGCTCCTAGAAATATTGGGAAGCTTAAGTCTACAAATTCCAGTTTTTTCAACTGTGCAGACCTAAACAGATTTCTTAATTTGATACAGTGGTATAATAAGTGAAGTTCTCTATGAACTTTTGGTCTATAACTAGGTAATTTGTGAATCTTGCAGTTCATCATTGTAAACATTAATATATGTTGTTAAGAAAGTGACTGGAGTTCTCATTTCCTGTGGCATATGGTAGCATGCTTTTTTTGGGGGGGGGGTGTTTCTCTCTTACTGATTGCTGACTAAACCAGACAACACAGAAGTTTTGTAGAAGTAATTTGTGCAACGTCTCATAATAGCAAGCTCCACTTGCAAACAGCTGGCACATGGAGCTTCATAAAATGCAAGATACCACTTATGAGAGCAACTACTAATAGCTTGATAGGAAGATGTGGCCCGTCTTTCTAGAATTAATCCACTGATGCGATTGTAATTAAAAGGAATGTACAGAATGACTACATTCTTTATACTTTAATATTTGATAAATATCTGCAAAGTAATATTTTATAATAGCCGTAACAAGACATTTAGAATTTCAATTTGGTTAAGTCAACACATTGAAGTGTGAGATGATATACAAAGTTTATTAATACTAATAAAAACTGGTGGCACAGCAGAAAAAGCAAGACATAAAATAAAGCACCCTAACTCTTACCATTATTGTTTTCAACATGGAAACCACACTGAAAGTATGAATTGCTCTATAGAAAGACCATAAACTTTAAATACGTAGCATGTTTGTAACCAAGATTAGGAAACAGTTACTCTACAACAAAAACGGTAGTGCATTCCAGCCTGTATTAAACAAAGCTTGAAAACGTCTGTACCAGAACTGGACTTCACATAGACAGTTATAGAAAGTTAACACCAATCTTGAGTAGTTCAAAAATGCTTCCATTGATTGTGCTGTGAAGCCAGGTTTTTTAGCAGCTTTCTCCATCTGGTGACCTATTAGAGAAATCAGCTTCAACTCCCATAATTCCCCAGAATTGAGCCAGCCTGCTCAACAAAATTACGGAAGTTCAAGTCCAACTTATCGAGGGAAACACCAGGATTGGAAGGCTGATTTTTCTAGAATGTGTTTCCTCATCCTGTCTGATTCTAACTCAAACTCATCTTCAATTAGAAAGATACAAATTTAGATACATAAATGTGAAACTTGTCCAGTTTAGTGAGAAACGTTCGATATACATGTGGGATATAGACATCTTTTATTTTCACAAGGTATAATCCTGGCAAGATGAGTCACTTTTCTTATGCCGTGGAGAAACTGTTGTCTTTGTAGGAGATGGGGAAGCTGTACCAAATACTTCAGAACTTCCTTCTACAATGTTTGGTGATGACTCCACAAGATGCGGTCCTTTCTTTCTTCCAAGGAAGCCCCCTCCTTCAAATCCACTCTTCCTTTTGCAGTCTGCTTTGGTTTCATTGTCTTCATCGTTTCCTCTTTTTTTCAATTCTAATATGCTTTCAGACACTTTCTGAAGTTCTGTTCCCCCATCTGGCACTCTGCCCATTCTTATCTCAAGTGCTAAAGCTGAAGCTTTTTTGTCAGTTATGTTTTCACCAATTCTTTTGCCTTCTGCCTGTAAAGGACTCCAGTTGCCATTCGGAGGAACAGCTTTGTCTACCATGGTTTTACTTAAATTAAAAGGTTGAATTTCCCTGTAGCTGTGAAAACTTTCTGTCCGGCGGGCTCTGGCTAGTAAGGGGCTCTCCCGATATGGCCTTATGGAGCCATAGGTAGCAGTTTCGTGGATTGTTTCCCGGTGCTGTAACTGGAGGCTGAAAACATTTAAAGTTTTTTAAGTAATTAAATTAATAAATTGAGCATGTCAAATTGAACAAAATTTACTAACTAGAAATTTGGATTATTTTTAATTCCATGCAAAAAATCATAAATTATTCATTATTGCTTGGGATCACTACTATATGGAAAAGCACATTACATAATTCACACAGTCACACCCTAGGAACTCTTTATACAATCTCTATTCTGCACAGTTTGCAAAATATTAGAGTATTAACTTTTAAGTAAACAGCGGGATAAAATGAAGTTTTATACAAGGAAACATCTAGCTTAAATCTTGGCATCCACCTATATGCAAATGTAATTTGTAAAGCTTACCTAGAGCTTGATTCACGCAGTCGGCTTTGCTGGACTACTGAAGTAGCTGGGCTGATATTGGGGGTTGCACAGCGAGATGTGCTTAGATCACACTGATCCAGAAGTTTAAGCAATTCTTCTTCAGTAGGACCACCCACATCTTGGGAGACAGAAGACAGATCCATATATACATTAAGAAACTATAACAAATTTACTTAACATCTGTACCTAATATGTACTAAAGAGTTTAGTATACTGTCTTGGTAGCATAATTCTTTAATGCCAGCTAGAGTCACTTGCCTGTGTGAGAGGCAGTTACATGATATAGACAGAGGGAGGGAGGAATGATAGGTAGGTAGGTAGGTAGGTAGGTAGGTAGGTAGGTAGGTAGGTAGGTAGGTAGGTAGAGATCAAATAATCATCTAATTATTCAAAATCAGTTTGCAATATGATAATTCTCCTTTTTCAATATTAAATTTATATATTTACAGTTTGAGAATAATGTACAAAAGGTCAAAACAAAATAATAAAAATATGGAAGAAAGACACAATCACCACTTCAAAAAAGAACTAAAAATTAAATAATAGAAAACCGGAATCAATTCAAGCTCTATTGAAAACATTCAAGACAATTACCTTTTTCTTCACTTTTATTAACCATATCCATTGCTGTAGTTAGGTCCCACATCTGAATACTGCCATTAACATGCCCTGTGAAGAGGTAACGCCGTGGTCTTGAACCCATTCTGCTGGATCCCTCACATTCACGCACAGTAAAGGAGGAAATTGTAGTACAGTCAACTGCCTGAATTTCACATATCCTGTTGGGGGAAAAAGACTCTTTGTTTGTATAAGACTCTTCTGTTTTCCAAAGATTAGAGATTGTTGTTCAAGCAAAGAAACCCTGAACCATCCCTGGGTCAACTATGAAAGGGAAAAGTTCTCAAATGACTATTCTATATGCTTCTGTATATCTCTGTATTTATTAAGCTGCGAGTTGAACAGTTTATTGGACACAACTAAGCATTTTCAAAGTGTATCAAATGTCTTTGAAATTTGTCTCCTGGAATCTTAAACTCAATGCTATTTGTCTTTACAACATTCTTTGAGGCAAAAAATGTCTTTCCTTTAACTAAAAACTAATTCCATTACAGGTTAAAATAAGCAACAATCAAAAAGTTATTGACAATTTAGCATGGGACAGCATTTCACACAATTAACTTACAGACTTCCATATCAAGGTTTATAAGGCATTTGCTTAACAGAACTGTCTGAACTACCATGTTTTCCCCAAAATAAGACCTTACTGGAAAATAAGCCCTAGCACAATTTTAGGGTGTTCTTAATATAAGCCCTACCCCCAAAATAAGCCCCAGTTTGTAAGATTGTCAGCCAGATGGATGCATTTAGTGCCATATTTCCCCCAAAATAAGAACTAACTGGAAAATAAGTCTAATACATCTTTTGGAGAAAAAATTAATATGACCCCATCTTATTTTGGGGAAAACATGGTAAATACAAATGAAAAGGATTTGAGCTGAAAATACTTTAGCCCAAGATACCCCTTTGTACGGTACTCAAGTGGTCCCCAACATTTCTGGCCTGGTGGACTGGCAGTGGTGGCGGGGTGAGCAGGGAAAGGGTATGGTTTCACCTATGCACATCACTTTCGCAGAAGCAAATTCACGCATACCTGCACATTCTTGCCCACCACCTTCACAGCCCAGTTCCAAATGGGCTACTGTCCAGTACTGGGCTGCGGATTGGGGACTCCTGCTGTTCACAATCTAATATTTACTTGAATGTCAAATTTCTCATAAGACAGGTATGTATAAGCATTCTGAAATTATTAATGTTTTTTATAAAATAGATATTTAATGTAAGCATCAGTTTTGAATTTACAAGTTACTGGCAAAATATGATACTTGGATGGGTGAGATCATTTTCTTTTTAAACAACCTGTAAGTAAGTAAGTAAGTAAGTAAGTAAGTAAGTAAGTAAATATGCATGCAAATTTACTGGAAGTGTTTTTATTCTTTCTAAAATGCACATGCATTTCACAGGAATTTCAATAGGCACTCAGAAACTACTCAGTGTCTACAGTTCTAAAGTTAAGTGATCACCAACTTTTCAGTACATTTCTGATGGATGCCAACACATTATTCCTAAGTACTGGCACAGTGTTAGTTGTCCAACCATCCTAGCAATGCTTATGGGTGGCTTAAATATGATGCATTGTCCTGTCATTGGGAATGAATTTTAATTCTAATTTCTAAGCCCCAGAAGCAGGTTCTTGCCCCGTCATCTATGAATAGTTTGGCCCTGTTGCTCCTGAGGAAATGGGACAGGATCCTAGGGAGTATGCACATAAGCACCTGTGTTTTAGACCCATATCCCGCCTGGCTTGTGAAAGCTTCCCAGGAGGTGAGAGACAGGTGGACTTTGGTGATGATTAATGTGTCCCTATAGGATGGGGTAGTGCCTCAGCACTTTAAGGAGGCTGTGGTCTGCCCTCCTCTAAAGAAGGCATCGTTGTATTTCACTCTGTTGGATAATTTCCAACCTGTCCCCCAATCTTCTCTTTTTGAGAAGGTTGTTGAGAAGGTGGTGACACAACAGCTCCAGAGATTTCTGGATGAAACAGATTATCTCGACCCCTACCAGTCAGGATTCAGACCTGGTATTGGGACAAAAACAGCATTGGTCGCAGTTTTGGATAATCTTTGGCAGGATGAGGGTAGTGCCTCCATCCTTGCTCTACTTGACAGTGGCTTTTGATACCATCAACCATGGTATTTTCCTACAGCGGCTTTGGGAAATGGGAGTGGGAGACTTTGTGCTATCCTGGTTCACTTTCTTCCTCTGCGGCCACTCTCAGTCAGTGTTGATAGGAAGGGAGAGATCCAGCCCTCGCCCACTGCTTTGTGAGGTTCCACAGGGCTTGGTACTCTCTCCACTCCTGTTCAACATTTATATGAAGCTGCTAGGTAAAATCATCTGCCACCATGGACTGAGGTATCAACAATATGCTGATGATACTTGTGTCCCTGTTATGCCCTTTCCTGGACGAACAATTCCTACTCACAATCACTCATGCCCTAGTATTTCCCATCTTGATTATTGCAACACGCTCTACATGGGGCTGCCTTTGAAAAGCATCCAGAACCTCCAGTTGGTGCAAAATGCAGCGGCCCGCATGGTTTTGTGCAGATCCTAGTGTGCACATGTATCACCTCTCCTGCGGGAGCTGCATTGGCTGCCAATTTGCTTCCAGGTGCAATTCAAGGTATTGGTTGTCACCTTTAAAGCCCTTCCTGGTTATCTGAGGGACTGTCTCTTGCTGGTCCCATCTGAGTGGAGAGGCAGGAAATGTTGCGGGTCCCATCCCCTAGGGAGATACACCTGGTGGGACCCAGAAGAATGGCCTTCTGCATGGTAGCTCCCTCTCTCTGGAACAGCATCCCTCCAGAGATTAGAATGGCCCCTACTCTAAGGCACTGAAGACCTGGATGCAGGATGGAGCTCATTAAATGGCTCATGTGATGTGCTGTTGCAGGGGTGGGGATTAATTTTATTATATTATAATTTTTTTATTATTTTGATTATTTTGATTGTTTTAAATGAGGTTTTATATTCTGTAAGCTGCCTTGAGTTGCCATGTGCGAATAGGGGGCAAGATAAATTCAATAAACAAACAAACAAACAAACAATTTGGGCAGATTCTTAAATGGGCCTTGTATTAAGAGTATGCAAACCCTTTGATGTGAAGCAAACACAACCACTTTGAGAGTTGAAGCTACTACATCATGGCCCTCCTGAGATGTTAGAATAGCCAACGGAAAGAAGTGCTGGGCATACTCAGGAGGGCCAACAATCCCTTAAAAATAGTGTTAGATAGTGGAATAAGGGCACTTTCCTGTTAATATCACATTAATTTTAATTTAAAGGGATATTTATTGTCTTCTGCAATATTGGTTCTCATACTGGATTTCATGTTAACCTTACAACCTCGGCGTAGAGTCTATTTTAGCTGACATTTTTCAGGCTCTGTGAGGCACTCACATGGCAGACTGCTCTTCTTGCAACATCTCACTGGGTAGAATATTATGGTAATATCACCGTGCCTGACAAGAGAGGCTTTCATCAGGTAAAGAAAATATTTAAAAGGACTCTTGTTTTTCTCTAAAGAAAACTTGGCATTTCCCAAGTTTTGAGATTAATATACCTCTTTTTTTTTTTTTTTTAAAGGTCCCCTTTCTTAGCCAAAGGAAAGGGGTAACACACTTATTTTTAGGCCCTTAAAGATTTGCATTAAAGTATGATAAACTTGTTAGTCCCTTTCTTAGCTTCTTGCTTCATATAAGAGCAGGGCACATAATAAAAATGATTGGTATTATTACTTTTGGAGAAAGCAGAACTTAGCTTGATTTTTTTTTTAAAAAAAATGGTAGTGTTTTGGAGCTCATGGTTCACTTCCTGCAAGGAACTGCAAGGCCCCTGGTCTTGAGATCCATTGCTTAACAAGTATTTGTAAGTGGAAGGGGGTTGTCTTTTAACTGGCTCAGCTTTGTGGAATTGGCTAGCATGCTTCAACTAACTTGCTTCAAATGCAGAATACTACAGTTGTCAGTCTTTGGGGACAGAGAACAGAGATGCTGGATTTACCTGGAGAAAACAAGCTTCTTTTTGCTTTGACTAGCTTTGCTTCCATGTGGTTGTTGCCTGATTGCATGGTCACTGACAAAGGGATCTTTTGAAAGTGGAAATCAAATGTTGTGACTAAGGAGCTTCATCTCTTACAAAGGGCAAGAAATAGTACGCTTTTCATCATCGAACTTTCTATTTACACATGTATGAAGAGGCCAATTGCCATGGCAGCTTAATTAAGAGTCATTTCTTTTTATTCCAAAACGGCTGGATCCACAGTAGTTCAAAACAAAATGTGTAAAAAAAAAAAGATGTGCAACAATTGATTGCACATACTGCAAATTGCTACCATGGGAACAAATAACCAATACAATTATTTCCAGGATAAAATGCGTATATAGGAATGCGGGCTTAATTAACGTAGAAGACATGTGTTGATTAGACTATTCCATAGTAATCAAAGAAAATGAGAAAAGAAAGAGGTCAAAGTTTAACAGGCTATGAATTACTACACACAAATTTATCCTAATATAACATTAATTTTAATAACTATATCCCATTTTTCTTTCTAAGCCTGCCTAGAACATTTAATCATGGTGATTTATAGTATATTATAATATTCCAATGTAATATTATTCAAGTGATAATGAATCTTCTAGCCATATTATAGCTATCTACTGTTATTTGCTTTAAAGCTCACAAGTTGTCAAAAGGATAATCTTGATGTTTGGAAAATGCACTCCTGATTAATTTCTCCAATGTTTGCTTATGATTTTATGATATGAAGGTAGATACAAAGTAGATCCCTTCTATTAAAGTGTTCTTACTCATTAAGAAAAGATGGGCTGCTTCTCATCACACAGGTTTCTAGCCTGGAGTGGGGGAATAGCTCAACACTAAAGTGACTGCCTTGGTTATATTAGCCATATTACTCTCTTTAAATAGTACCCAAGTTTTCAAAAACACTTTGGCTGCTCTTTCCACAACTCTGGATTTTGTTTACTTTGAAATGGCCTGGCAACTCATTATATTTTTAATAAAGGTAGCAATACACACTACCCTATGGAAGGAATAGCACTAAAATAAAAGATATAATTAAAGGTCTATTAAAACGTAAAAGCTAAAAACAAAATAACAATACTTTCCTTTAATTCAGAAAATTAAAAAACAATAACCTATTTCCTGAATTAATTAGTAGCACGGTAATTGCATCACTTACCTTTTTCCAGTAGAAGAGAGTCTCACAAAAAGTTTGTTGGTGATGGGAACAACTTTTTGGATAAATACCTGTTGATCATCACGCTCACCAAATGGACCTGGAAGAGACCACCAAATAAAAAGCACTGATGTTTAGCTGTATACAAGAGTTACGTGAAATATTAAATAAAGAGTTCTGTGCATAAGTTCTCAAATAACTACCCCAAAGTGCAGATTAAAATTTGATATTGTCTTCCACATACTAATCTTTTATGCTTCTCTACACCTATCTCACACTCCCATTCCTCCATTTTAGATTTTCATGTTTGTACTTTTTATAATGTGTGTGTATACATAGTTGTTTTTAAAAATTGTGTATCCTTTATAATCCCTACATTTGTATAACTTGTTTTTGATGTTTATTTTTATATCCTTTATATCCTATATTTAGATATTTTATATTGTTATGCTTCTTTGTAACAAATGTACTCCCCACCCTCTCTCTTTATGCTGACCTGATTTAATATTTGTCCTACATGGAAAATTTGGTGACTTTCAAAAAAGCCTTATATGAATGTTTGCCAATTCAGTATAGCTGAATTGAAGGAATAGGCATGGACAAAAGATCCAGGTTTAATATCCCTATGTGCCTACTCTTTCTTTGCATACGGAGCATGAAGAACTAGTAATAAGAAAGGATTTAGTAACCTTTAGAAAATAGGATTGGTATACCTGTCCACATCCCTACTACGGGCAGGTGAAGATCTCCATAGGGTTTGTGCCCTAAACCATTATTCTCATAACCACAGTTTACCTGGAATGCTTCATTTACCTATATCATTTCCAGAAGAGTAACTTCCATGACTCTCTGTTTCCTCCAATGACAAAATTTTGAATGATGCCAGAGGAGTGGATCCTGGCTGTGTTGAAATCATTCCTCTAAAACGTGTCACTGTCCATGTCCGGACATGATTATTATCAGCACACACTAGAGGGGAAATGACCATAAAAAGAAGCAGAGGTTATAGTTCTAATTTTACATCACACCTAAACCAATTGGTATTTTTTAATAATGATAGTAAATCTTCCCTTTTCTAGTGTTGACAACCTAGCAAGGAATGTTGGATGGGTTCAAGGTTAATTCTTTCAGCCCTCTCAAGGAAAAAAATAGCAGAGTCTGAGACTTTTGAGAGAAGAAAAAAAAGAATACTGTGATACAGAAATTGGATCAGGAGAACTCTAAAGCTGCAAGAGATGCAGTTATGCCCTTCAATGGAAAAAGGAGGATGATACTAGTTAGTAATTCAATTCATTGTCTCACGATGAGTGCTGCCTGACAAAAGCAAGGATCAGCATTGTGAAAAATAAAACAAAATAAACTTCTTTTTCATTTAGGGTTAGGATGCTTTTATGGCTATAAACTCACTGAATATCCACACCTCAAATTCCATATAACTAAGAAATATAAATGGAAGCTGGCCTTTATGCATATTTTATCTTGTTCTATTTTTTTTTTCTTTTGTGCTTTAGAAATATTTTTAAAAAGGAGAACATAGAAGAAAAAAGTTATGAAGTCATTTAATCTGACAAGATTACCTGATACCAGATGTTTTTCTGATAACATGATCTTTGTAACAGGGCTACGGTGAACTGTGAAAGTCTGGAAAAGTTGTGGTCCTGAACCAACTGTTTCTGGGTGTTGCACAATTACACGTACAGCTCCAGAGCTTGTGCCATATGCAATCTCGATCCAATTGCCACTTACGCCTATACAAAAACATGAGAAACAGAAATGATTTTAGTAAATTATATTCGCCCAAGATGGTGCAGGCTTGCTGTTGAGGAAAGATGTGGTGTCTACATTTAACTTTACAAGATTATTTCAGCAATTATTGCACTAAAGTTCACAAGTAGCACTCTTCCCATATATTATGCATCATTTAAAATATTGAAAATACTGTTGAAGGTGCAAATTATGTACAAGACAAACATTTTAAAAGACCATACATTTCAACCTTTACCCTAATAATAAAATCAACACAATTAACTTATGAATAGGAAAAACAATATAAAATTAGCAAGTGACATTTTGAAATTCAAGATTATTTTTTTTAAATACTGTCAGTTGAGGAAAATTGTTTTGAAGAGAAGTATACAATTTTATCATATAGCAATAATAATAAACCTCTCTTCCAAGTGCTGTAGCATTGAGTATACTAGCACAAGGGATAGAATGGCATTTCCAAATGCATAAAATTCATAACTGAATAACAGTAAGATGCATTATCTCCATAATTTTCTTAATTCTAAATAAGTCGCAAATACGTTGTATATGGATAACTAAAGAACAGAACCGAAGCAGCATTAAATATTTTTAAAGTTGACAATAGGATGGTTTGACAATATCATATTCAGGATCAATTCTATCAAGATAGTACAAACTTGTTTTGGGTGTAAGGTAAACACTAAGTGCAGTTATGGCATCATTAGAAGGATCGTGGTAAAGTTCCGTCACTAGAAGATCATTATCTTTCATTCGTAATGGAAATTTTTGCATATCTGCAAAATAAAGACATATATAAATTGTTTTAGAATGCCAAACAACCATTTCAGGTCTTTAAAATCTTTACAACAAAATTCCTGAAAAAATACTTTCAAGAGATAAAAGTAAAACCTCCATAAATCAGTGGTCCCCAAACTCTCTGGCTCCACAGACCAGCAGCAGCAGTGGTGGCAGTGGGGAGGGTGGAGGGGTGATGTTTCTCATGTGCAACCGTCCCACTCATGCGCAAATTGTGAGCGTGCTCACTGCTTGCATGAACCGGTTCCCAATGGACCATGGACCAGTACCAGTCCGTGGACAAGGGATTGGGGGACCCCTGTTCTAAATAACCCATAGGATTGTTTTTTGAAGTTAATTCTCAAAAGTTAGGAAAGAGATTCTTGAGCTTACCAATATAATATATGGAGCCATTGTTGCAGCCCAGCAGTAAGAATGATCCTGCAGTATCATAGCTAGTGATTGGGACAACATCTTGAACCTAGTAAATAAAATAAAAACATCAACTTTCAATTTTGTTTCATATGCTTTTGTGTTGTGTAGCCATATTATCTAAAAGCATGTGTTTTATTAAGATTAAACTGGAGCAATTTAAAATTTATACTACATTTAAAGATGTCTTTCTCACAATTTTCTTGTAAAACCTCTGAAAAAACCCTTATATCACAGTGTTGCAACAATTATTTTCAAGTTACTGAATTAATACTATGACACAATAATGTGTAAAAGCATGAGTGTTAGGAAAATTGTGTGTCTCTATGTGTACATTCATGCGTGCATATACTCACTGCAGACAGTGAGAAATGCTAGAGTTCCAAGACAGCAGACAGAAACATAAAAGATGCACCATCTTTAGGTATCAATACAACAGCACCAGATGCCCAAGAAATAGCCCAGGCAGAATGAGTCAAAGTAAACTGGATAAAGGGAGACTACAGTCTAAAAGACCTGGCTAGATGAGCTGGGAAGAAAAAAATGGGAAATGTTTTCCTCCCTCATCTGCAGTCTCAAAAGTTAGTTGACACACTGGTAGGTAGGCAGACAGGAAGATGTCAGGAGTGGGAGATGTCAGAACTGTGCATAAGAGGAAAAAGCCCAGAAACCTAGAAAGGAAGCACTGATGGTACTCAGAAAACCCAGAAAGCCTTCAAAAATAAGATGGAAGCCAACAGAAGAAAACAATTCTCACTGAAATACGGGACAAAAGTTATATTGTTTCAGAAAAGGGATGAGGGGAATAAAATCTGGAAAGAGGGGAACCATGATAGGCAACTTCCCTTTTAAGGTAACAGACCTCTACCAGGCTTGGGTAAATGAGGCCAATAAAGGGAAGGACTGCAAACTTTTGACTGAAATCAATGAGCAAGTGACTATGGGAGAAAGGAAGTGATTATTAATACAGCCTAATTATATAGAACTAAAAAAGAAAGAATAATAGGATAAAGAAAAACAAAGCTCCTAGTTTCGACTGCTAGCTTTTTAAAAGTAGATTTTTAAAAATATTTATAAAATTACTAAGTTGAAAAAGGCCATTTGAGCCAATTTCCTAATTGGTTCTTTTATCAAATGGATTTTAGAAAGATTTCCCTAATATTCAACTGGAACTTTATTTCTTTATTTCTAATTTGATGTGATAGAGTTATTTCCTATAATCTACATTTACTGATGCAGGATAAAGATGCAGTTGCCTTTTTAGCAGTTATTCATATTAATAGCACATAATCAACTTGAGATTAACTATAATTCCAAGACTGTTTTCACATATACTCTAGCCATATCAGCAACACTAATTTATACCTTTGTGTTTCATTTGTTTCTTACATTAAGAACTTTGAATATTTCTCTGGAATTTCATTCAATTATTTTTCATTTCACTTTCAATTATCATTTTATTTTTCTGTCTTGTAATTGCAATTTTGTAGCACCTTAAATTGGCAAACATGCCCAGTTTTGAGCATTTAATATATTATGCAAATAAAATAGGCCCAAAATGTTCTAACTACTTTAACACTATTTGAATACCAGATTTTGGCTATGCTCTTTATGCTACCAGGATTTTGCATGAGAATGAGCAGAGTATCTCAGTTTACTACCCAAATCCTTAGAATGAATTATGCAAACTTTACCAAAAAATACCCCAAACCCTTTAAAAGGGATTTCATCTATATTCAGGAGATACTTGTAAGATTTCAACAAATAACAATTATATCACTTGGTTTCTTGAATTCTCCCTCTAGTACTTATTACCATGACAATCACTTATGTGTAAAATCAGGATTTATTCAACCAGTGATGTGGTATCCCAAGTCTATGCCTAAGGTCACTTTTGCCTCTTGAAAATTATACGACAGTCTCTTTGATTTCCTTAGTTCTTTACACTGAGCTATAGAGACAACCATCTGGTTGTGTTACCAGGTTTACTTCTTGCATGAATGCCTCTTAGTCTTGAATATAACCCAAGAATCTCTATTTCCACTGTCATAATGCATAATGTATAAAAATTGCACAGCATTTGAGAACAGAAATATAAAATAACTACCTTTGAGAAATGATGTAGCATTAGTTGAGAAACTTTCAGGTAGATGATAAAATTTCTAAATTCCTCAGGATTTTACACAAACATAATTTGGCTAATGATGAAAAACCTTTTTGGTTACTGAAAGGCTCAACAAAATTGGTTAACTCTACCTCTTCTAACAAAGCAGCAGAGCTTAAAACTTCTTCCTGTCCCATGGAAGAAATCCTTCCTTTCAGCAGCATGCATAACTTCAGCTGATTGTAGTTCCATTTTTCATTTATTAACTAATTCACTAGCAAAATAAAACTTTGCCCACCAGTAAAAATATTTGGGAAATGAAAGAAAAATGTATAATAGCAAACACAGAACAGTAGTTAACAATTTGACTCTTGGTCCCTCTTGAAACATCTCTGGATCTTTCCCCTTTTTGGTAGATCAGTGACAAGGAAAGTATTTCATATTAAGTCCAACCACTGTTGTTATGATAAAAGATGAACCCAACATGCAACAGTATTCCCAGAAATGGTTAACAGAAGTTAAAACAGACTATAGCAAGGCTCTCCAACCCGCGGCCTGCGGGTCAGATGCCTAGCACTCTGGCTACCCCATCCTCATTTTAGTGCAGGGGAAAAAAGTTTTGATACATCACGTTACAACATGATGCCATGCATTTGACACCCCTGCTCTATAGCATCATGTGCCCAATAATTACATCTGCAAAGGTAAACCTATCTACCTCAGAATGCTTCATGTATTTAGATGGTTCAGCTGTGATGTTGCCTTGTAAATATCTATTAGTGGGATTCCCATTTTAAGAGTCTCAACCACCCCTGCAATGAGATGAATCAGTTCCAGAAGAGATCTGCCATACATCTGGGAAGATGATATTATAGCAGCATCCCCTGGTTGCTCATCCTCACAGATATGCCTTATCCCCAACCACCTACAGAACAGATTCACTTGCCAGGGGTTTCCGATTCATAATAGCCACATTCTTGGACTTCCTTGGGTTTCTCCTTCTTCCACTTTTTTCATTTTTTCCACATGAGCAACCTCACCTGATACATCAATAAATCAATAAAGCTGAGAGGGTTGGCTGCATTGCAGGGAAACTTGCTGCCTGAATTGCTTAACTCTTCTGTTTTGCATCATTGTCTCCAGAAGCTCTTCTGCCTCTTGGATCAGCCCATTTACGCGTCTGGGCAACTGCTTTAGACTGACTGCTCCTGAGTTCTAATATTCAGCTATCATCCTGCCTGTTGGCTGCAGCTTGTCTTCAGCAAACCAATTAGATCACTAGGACAGGCATAATTTGCATTACATCTTGCTCTCTTTCCTAGACTACCTTCTCCTCCTCATGTATATTTTGTGTTTGTCCCTCAAGTTGGAGCCAAGAGAAAATCTGTGGGAAAGGAATGGTCACTTCTACAGAACAGGAATAAGTCTTAAGCTCTGCTTTCCAAATTAAAAATAAATAAATAACAGGAGTCAGCTCCATCTTTGGCAAACATCTTTCCTGTTATATAGAATTAATTTTCCTGCAAAACTATTTCAGCTGTTGCTAGCTGAATGATAAAACTTGAAAATTAAACATTTACAGATATTTCAGCAATAGTAAAGTATATTAAAAAAGAACAAATATGCTGATAAAAAGTTGATTTCATTTTTTTTGAATACTAATAATGTACAGGAGCAAGCAATTCTGTTCATATGTACCTGCCAATGTTGAGTCACAGCATTCCATACTCCCACTTTTCCTGTGTGACTGGTGGCTACCAACTGGTTACCAATGAAGAAAAGAGCATCTACTGGGACTCCAAGACTAAAGATTCCTTTCAGGAGAGACAATACCACACAGAGATGTATATTAAAAGGACAAAAGGGTCTAAGACATTTTAAGTCAAAATAATGGCAATATCCAATTAAAAATGCTTTTGAAAATGATTATATTCGTAATCATTGCCTCTCTTACAATATATTTAATTATAGACTGGTTGGTATAAATACTTATGTCTTGGTACATAGCCATGACTATGTTTCAGCTGAGGCTACATCACCCATGACTAAGATAAGATTTACTTATTTTGTTCTTAGTTATTTGATTTAGAGGTCAGCCGACTCTTCAGTGATTCAGAAGAGGTTATAACTAAAAAAAAAAAAAAAAACCTATGTCCAAAGCATCCACAAGCAACCAGAAGACTGTAGGACCAACCCTCTCCCCAGAAACTATAGGTGCTCCTTCTATCCCAAGGTCTGAGAGAACAACCAGACTTTTAATCATTCCTGGAAATTTGTTAAGGTAGGAGACATCCAAATCTCTGGGGGTGGGGACATCATTCCATAGGGCAGTTGCTATGAGAGAAAAGGCATGCTTCCACAAAATTGCTTGGATTCCACAAAATGACATTGTCTAATTAACATTGTTTAAGCATGTCCAGTCTGTCCATGCCAAATAGGCAGAAATGTTTGATGACAGAATGGCCCCTCAAATAGTCAAGCTCTAGTTTAAAAACATTCAAATTAAAATATAAAGGATCTTATGTTCAAATACTAACATTGTGTTAGCCACTGAAAATTGCTAAAGTGCTATTTGATAGAAATGCAAACACGCTCAGATTTATGTATGGCTGGGTGGTCTTTTATCTTTTCTATCAAAATCTACACAGAAAACACCTCTATCTTTAAACTTTATGAAGGAACAATTAACAACAAAAAAGTGTTGTATTACTTTAAAATAAAGGATAGCAGATTCTATGGTTTTGGCCTGTAAAGAAGAAGTCTGGTACATAAAGTGACTTTAAGCGTTCATTTATTCTATACTTAAAATATTTCACATTAACATGGAGAAATCTTAAAATATATTAAAATACATAGTGCAAGCTACTCAGAATTGTCAAACTGCACAGACTGAGTCTGTTCCAGGAGAGGTTATAAATATATATCAAATAATAGTACATGCCAAATCATTTTTCGGGCCATATGACCTTCCTTGAGGTTTTACTCTATTTTCAGCAGCATACATAAAAAGCAGGCAACAAGAAAAAGGAAAGAAACAACTAGAAATGATTGCTCTGGAGGAAGTTCAGGGAAATCAAGGAAGACAGCATGAATAGTCTGAAGGAATTTAAAATGTCACTCCTACTTAAGCTCAACAGTCATAATGCCATCCAGAGGGAAGACAATGGTAAAAGTAGTGACAGATGCTTGTCTTAAGGGGATTTCTCTGTAAAATATTGCTTATAGCAGCAATCTAGTACCAGTTTATTATGTAAGTAACAATGAAGGGATAAACAGCTTCTAGGAGATGCCAGGCTTGATAATATTCCATAGATGGTGTCAGTTTCTGAAGAATATATGTAACAACACATTGTTTTTATTATTTGTTTTTGTTTTCCAGAGAACAGTATTTCTCTCTCCCAAGGCAGGGCTGCTAACATTGCAAGAACAATGGGCCAATAGCAGTGTCCAAAAGAGAATACTCTTTCTTATTAAATCATTATAAAATCAATGCAATAAATCAATCATACCCACACTTACATAAGTAATACACGTGCGCTGTGTTCCATTTGCTCTGTTAGTGAAGTAAATATTATTGATTTTATAAAATTATTTAACAAGCTCAGAATTAGTAAATTGACAGTTTTTAAGAATAAATTAGTTTTTGGTGAATAGAAAGGCGGGAGTGTGTGATCTTCTTAATTGAGTGTTCTCTCAATTCGACTATGATAAAATATAGAAGAGCTGCACATAATCAATCAAGATTCAGCAGATATTAAGAAACAATATTTCAGTAATATATTCTTGGTTAAAGCAAAATAGTTTACTGCAAGTCCCTCCAATTCAACCTCTGAAAAGAAAAATATATTAAGAAGTGAAACACAACACATGCTCACCTATTTCGCTACCACTACCACCGTCCTGGATGCTCCATAAAATGATACTGCTTTCGGATGCCACTGCAACCATTTTATCTTTGTCACCATGTGGACCACCAACAACCTTTGCATTCAGAGCGACACGTTCAATAGTCCAGTCTAAGTAAGGACTCGTAAAAACTTGTTGCCACCCAGAGGATTCTTTAATTCTAAGGAAAAAGACGTATGAACAGATGTTTCTTATGGCTGGCCTTCTAAGATGTACAGGAAGCTCAGTATGAATGAGCTGTTCAATAACCAGAAGCCAGAAAAATGGTTGGAAACATTCCAACTTAATCCTATATGCTACAGATAAGTTAAAATATTAAAGAACCTTAGAATTAATACCTACAAGACAAAATTTAAATAGATGCTGTCACAAATCACTGACTTACAATAAATCCTTAATTCTGGTTTATTTAAAAGACGCATTTCAGAGTAGAGTAAAACCAAATGTTTTCTCCAATACACATGAAATAACAAAATTATTAGAATTTCTACAACAAAAGCAAATTAAATATATGATTATTTATCTTCCAACATTTCTCAGAGATCATGTCTTCAGAATCAAGAATGAGAAACTTCACAATTTCAATATAATACACAAAAAGATAGATGGGAAAGGAGGAAAGATGTAAGAAAAGATAAATGTATATTTCTTAAAACCATATAAAAGATTTTATACTGTATAAAGAAACTAAAGAAAACAGAAAAAGCAGGTGTCTTTCAGATAAAACAGGCATATTATCTAATCTCTTTATGCTGCTGCAACTTAGCATAATGGTTGCTAAAAGTTATTCAAGGAAAAGAAGAGTCAAGTGACAGTGCATATAAAGCTAACAAAATCAGCTCACTCACTACAGCACTTTGCATAATGACAATCCTATTTTTTTATTATTTGTTTGATTTACATCCTATCTTTCTACTAAGATGTGACCATATTAGCTAGGAACTTGACAGCATGCAAACTGGCAATATAAATCATATTGGAATCATGTGCTATAAACGTTAGAACTCCTCAGAATAATTTCATATAGAGTTCCAGAGGAAAATGACAGCTATTTCATTTTTACAAGGAAATCCTATTACCTTAATTTGTATTAACCCTTGAAGGAATATATATATATGCTAGTGAATATGTAAGGTGTAAAAAATGGCTTGGTCTCAAATCATTTTGAATCTGAAATTGGTTCTTCTAACCTTACAAGAAATGATCTAAATAATAAGACTGGAACAAAATTGTGTACTTCCAATTAGGTCAAAGCAGTCCATTGAAAGACATATGACCAGCATTCAAAACATTCTGCACAGCTCAAGTAGAGATTTATTCTTAAACATGTAAATGCAGGTATGACACTTTACAGTGGAAGCCATAGTGTTATTTCTACAATCCTATAAACAGTAGAAGTTAATTCAGAAAATGAGAAATGGCATTATTAAGAAATCCAAAGTGCTTTTCAGGGTTTTCTAAATAGGAATTATCTTAGCAGTAAGATCCAATTGCTGCTTTGAATCACCAATCAAATCAAAGTACACATAGTCCTCGGCTTATGACCACAACTGAGCCCAAAATTTCTATTGCTAAATGAGATATTTGCCACAGTTGTTAAGTGAATCACTGCAATTGCTAAGATAGTAACATGGCGGTAAAATGAATCTGGCTTCCCCATTGACTTTGCTTGTCAGAAGGTCACAAAAAGTGATCATATGACGCTGGGACACTGCAACTGTCGTAAATAGGAGTCAGTTGCCAAGCGTCTGAATTTTGATCACATGACCATGGGGATGCTGCAGTGATCATAAGTTTGAAAAACTGTCGTAAATAACTTTTTTCAGTACCGTTGCAACTTCAAACAGTCACTAAATGAACTGTTGTAAGTGAAGGACTACCTGTACTGATCATTTAATTTTATAGAGAAATTGATTCAAAAATTTTCTTGAAAAAGACTCCAGGTCTTTTTGGAGTCTGAATATAATTATTGGCTTGAAAGAGACTGGACGATTTAAAATGACCATCTCCCTAGGGAGTGTCTATCAAAAACATGGTACAGCACTTTCTCACTATACAACTACCACTTTACTATGATGGATGGACTTTACTATGGCAATGGTTGCACCATTGGAAGACCTGAAAGAGCAGACTATAATGGAGGAAATCTAGCTATGTGATCACTAAGAATAGAAACTGACTTGATGAAATATTATCAATCAAATCCATATTCAAATCCGTATTCAGAATTGCTATATAACAAGCACATTATCCACTGAGTAACTTATAGTAGTTAGTCAAATGTAGTGATAGTATCAGCAGACTGCTATAAGAACCAATTACTCAGACTAGTAGATTCCTTTATACTGGATATGTTTGAGTCGATTCTAGATGCTTGGATTTCTACACTGAACTGGACAGACCTATGTCTAAATTCCCTCTTTCATAATTCTATGATTTAGAAACATTATTTACTAATTACAACAAGCCATTTAATATGCCAGACTGGGCACATAGCAGCATAGTAGCACATTCTTTTTTTAATGTACACTGAAAGTAGTGGCTTTCAGGGTCTTACAATCACACAGGAGTTCATATTAATATATGTCTTACATAAAAGAATTAAAGTAATTTATGAAAACATATGTTATCAACGATATCTAATATAGGTAAAGGTTCCCATTGCGCATATGTGCTAGTTGTCCACGACTCTAGGGGGTGGTGTTTATCTCCATTTCAAAGCCGAAGAGCCAGCGCTGTCCAAAGATATCTCTGTCGCCATGTGGCCAGCATGACTAAACGCCGAAGGCACAGAGAGCGCTGTGATGGCTTATGAAAGAACAGAATGATGACAATTTCCGGGCTGAAATTTAGATCATTAAAGATGTTGAATTTGTGTTCACCTAAAAAATCCCCTCTATCACTGTGCATTTAATTAACACTTTATAAAATGGCACAGATATTAAAAGGTAAAACAAGTCATATTGTTAGTAATTTGTGCTTACCTGTAACAAACTGCAAAGTGGGCATATGCAGCAACTATCCAGTTATGGTGGCCAGCCACTATCAAAACTTTTCGAGGATCCACAGGAATCCCTGTTGTTGTTTTTAAAAAAAGGCAAAACAAAGATGAAGACGTAAATTATCATTATTTCAATAAATAATGACACTGTATATTCTGAAATCCCACATTGTGATTATGCAAATATGTAATTTAATATTAGCACAAAATACACGATTTTGAAATTTAACGTTATGGCTTTTAATGCTACCAAGATGGACATGAATATATGATGACTTGTGGCATGGAAAATCTCAAAAGTTAGAATGTGAAGATGAATAAGATTTCCAGGAGCCTTGCAATGAAATTAGTTTTTTCATGTAGATTAAATACTTTCAATTTGTTAACTGTGAATGTTCAGCATCTTACTCTTTGAATGCAAACAGCCTTCAAAACTGAAGATATGTACTTTATTGGCCATCCTTTCAGGGGCTTTATATACAGTACAATTTTAAAAAAATTAGTAGCAACTGAAAGCCTAATTTCTATGTTCACAATGATACCCAATAACAACGACACTAAAGAATCAAATTAAGACATAGCTCTGCACTCAATAATTTTCAACCACAAACATATGAACCCAAGAATCATGTGTATTCATAACAACATTCTAAATTTTTCTCACCTAGCTTAACTGTATCTTCACCAGTACCAGTTAGTGAAGGCTGCAAATTGCCATCTCGCATCTCACCTTCAGAGCAGTTCTGAGGTATTCTAACATCTGTAGATGTTCCTGCAGAACCATTGATTTTTCGACTTGGAATGCCTAAGAGAGAAAGGATATGTCTCTAATTCGCTATCACTGTTTCTCATTCTTATGCCTAAAAGAATTACAACTTTAAAGTCATAGTTTGCCCAAATCTTCCACCTGTGGGTACCAGGGCTCTTCAAAAACAGCACAGGAGTCAAAATGCAAAATAAGCTATTTTACCGGTCCTAAAATTATATATTGTACTCACTTGGTGCCCAAATTCCAAAAGACATTGTGTACAAGTGTATTTCCAGAGAGGGCCACAGTGGTTTGTACAAACTATAATGCCCCAGAATTAAAGAGTAAATAGCTCTTTAATCTGGAAAAATGAGGAAGAGGTGCAGGTGGCTAAAGATTCATCACTCTTGACTTTACAACATCATTAGAGAAAGAAATAATCAAAGTTAACCTTTCAAGGTACCATTGGTGTTAATAGGACACAGAAAAATATGTGTTGAACTAATATCAATGAGGCAGAACAGTTTATAAAAAGAGCCTAATAAGATCCTCATTTGGAAGGTAGACATAATCATCTATTAAATATGGAAGTCACAGAGCAAACTCTGATATTATTCTTTTAAAATAGCGGAAAGATCTCAACAATTGAAAAGTCCGAGATACCTATCAGTTGAAACATACAGAAGTACCTGGAGGTGGGAGATATCCATGGAAGAGTACACTTCCACAAGAGGAACGCTCAAGTTCTTCACATAAAAGCAATCTTCTTACTGAAAGAGAATTGTACTTATGTATATTTAAATGCACTTCCAATAAAACAGATTACCTCAAAATAATTTCTATTTCAATTTTTTTTTTCAAGAAAACAAGTGGATACATTATGCTATCTTTGAAATATGCAAACAAACTTAAAACACATGTATATTAATTTCAAGGATGAGCTCATATCCCATATTTGTCAAATATTTGGGTAGGAAGAATCTGGAATTCTTTCAGATTCTAGAATACCACATTTAAAAAAAAAAATATTTTATTAATTTTGGTTTTCAAGTGATCCAATGTGCTTTACACAACTAATATTATCAAACAAAAAGGTTATAAAGCCAGACAACAAAAGAAAAAAAATCCACAGAAATAAATTCTGGTGGATTAAGAAAGCCACTGATATTTATGAAGAAATAAGTATATCTTTTGGAAAACAACAAGAAGCACAAAATGCCATTGTGTAGCCTAGTATACCCTGCGCTTTTGAAGATGATAATCATAGAAGATTAAAAAAATGGTTACTGCTGGAGCTATCCTGGAATGATGCATCTTTTCTTACAAATGGATTCTGGAAATGAAATAATGAGTTCCAGAAGGAACTGTGTGTCTGCAATTCAATGCTGACCAAGAAATAGAATATATTTTGCTCAGATATCTCCGTATTTTTCAGTAAAAAAAAAATCCTTGGCTGTCTACTTTCATCTCAATACATTATTAAATATATAAGTTTCAATTGCCATTCCAATTTCCTATCATTCATGAAAAGAGTACAGGTAGTCCTCAACGTATGACAATTGAGCCCAAAATGCATGTTGTTAAGTGAGAAATTTGTTAAGTGAGTTTTGCCCCATTTTATAACTTTTCTTAACATATTTCTTAAATGAATCACTGCAGTTGTTAAATTAGTAATACGGTTGTTAAGTGAATCTGTTTTCCCCATTGACTTTGCTTGTCAGAAGGTTGACGCTGCAACCGTCATAAATATGAGTCAGTTGCCAAGCATCTGAATTTTATTCACGGGATCATGGGGATGCTGCAATGGTTATAAGTGTGAAAAATGGTCATAAACCACTTTGTGCTGTTGTAACTTTGAACGTTCACTAAACAAACTATTGTAAGTCGAGGAGTACCTGTAATTAAACTACTTGCCAAGTTCAAGCTAGTGATTCATATATATATATTTACCTAACGGTGTGATTCCATAAAATTCTGCTTCATGTCTGAGTACATTGATACTTACTCCTCTGCAAAACAAAGAAAATAGAATAAAAATACTATTTGAAAATTAAATGTAATTTTCCAACTCATGGATTAATATTGTTAGGTTTAAAATTGGAAGGATATTAATTCAAACTCTTAAACTGCTAAGTCCATATTTTAAAAAAAATAGATGTGACATGCTAAGAATCCAATCCAAAAGCTCAGAGGCAGGAAGTATGAAGTAGAATAGGTATATGATAGTGATTTAAGATAGATACACAAGATAAAGGCTTCCTTGGCTTCATCAAGGCTACAGGGATACTCAGAACTGAAACTTTTCAGGATACAGGCCTTAAATATTATAGAACGGCACTTTGTGAAACTTCCATTCCTAGATTAGATCATAGAATTTCTGATAAGAGACAGATCATGTAAAAATAAATGAAGAATTAAGGATTTAAGCATGGACAGACTTAATAAAGCCTTTTTATTAAAAGGTTTCTGAATTAAAAATATCTGCTAGAACCCAAATATTTCCTTACAAATTCTGAATGTGATTTGGGAAAATAGATTCTTGGGTAACCAAAGGAAACAGTACTGTATCATCCACATTTACACACAAGAACCAGATTTTTAAAATTAATTTCAAGTGATCTTAACACTATTTTAATTATTTTTCTCATGAAACAGTTTAATGTAAAAATCTAACTTACCTCAAATCTAATTCCTTTGTTCGAAGAAAATTTAAAATTGGTGCAAATGCTGCAGGATCTCTATCAATAAATATCTACAAAGAAGAAGAGATAGCTGATTTATTTGCTTGCAAGGACATTTTAAATCAGGAAAGCAATCCTGTCATAATTATGCATGCTAAAGTCATATTTATTTCAGTGGGTGTAACTTAAACATACATTAACATTTCAACTTTTGTTCATTTTTTTAAGTTTTGAGCTTGTCAAATAGTTGCTAGAATCTACAGTATTCAGATTTAAAACAACCTGTTTTGGTAACAGATCCCAAATGCCTGATTTAAACTCTCTCTCTGAAGCATTATTGCAAGTCAACATCATACAGTACATTACCTTATGCTGACTCACAGTTACAACATGTTTGCATTTATTCAGTTAAGCTTACATGAATTATTCTGAATCCAACATTTTTACCAGAAAAAAATCTAATCAATGTTCACATTATAATACAATTAAAAAGCAAAATACTCACAGCACCAGTTTCGTCTTTCAGTGTTGAAATTCTCCCACTCAACAAACTGAAATCAACAAATCTAAATTACAATCTAATTTGAGTAAGAGACAGACAAAAATGAATCAAATAAATGTTCAGAGAAGAGCAACAAATTTGATTAGTGGCCTAGAAACTATAATAAACGAAGAACGATGGAAGAAACTGGGTATACCTATAGTGAAAAGAAGGACCAAGGGTAATATGATAGCAGTCTTCCATTACTTGAAGGGCTGCCACAAGGAAGAGGGAGCCAACTTATTTATCAAAGCACCTGAAGACAAGACAAGAAACAATGGATGGAAACTAATCAAGGATAAAAACAACCAGGAATTAAGGAGGAAACTTCTAACAATGAGAACAATCAACCAGTGGAACTAATTGCCTTTGGAAGCTGTGGGTGCCCCATCACTGAGGGCTTTTAAGAGACTGGACAGTCTTTTGTCAAAAATAATATAGGTCTCCTATGTGAGTGGGGGTTGGACTAGATAAAATCCAAGGTCTCTTCCAATTCTATTTCTGTTACCGTTACTAAATGTTTTGGACTACAAGTTAGCTCCCATATGGGAGAAGGTGATTTATACCAACTACAATTTCATCCACATTACACCTGAATCATGTCCTATATTATTCCCACAGCCAATCAAAACAAATTTGCAAAGGATGAAGAACATTGCATAATAGATGTAGTTGGGTAATTTTTTCTAGGTATAGAAAAGTCCATTTTGTAAATTTATGCACACAAACATACACACTTTGTGTGTTCAGGTTTCATCATCGCAAGCCATGATGAAACTACATTTTTCAAGAGAGTACAGATAGTCCTCAACTTACAACCACAATTGAGCCCAAAATTTATATTGCTAGGGGAGACATTGGTTAAGTGAGTTTTGCCCCAGTTACAATTCTTCCTGCCACAGTTAAGTGAATTACTGCAGTTCAGTTAGTAACCCAGTTGTTAAGTGAATTGGGTTTACCCATTGATTTACTTGTCAGAAGGTTGCAAAGGATGATCACATGACCCAGGGACACTGTGACCGTCATAAATGTGAATCAGTTGTCAAGCATCCGAATGTAAATCACGTGACTATGGGGATGCTGAAACGGTCATAAGTGTGAAAAATGGTCATAACTCACTTTTTTCAGTGCCATTGTAACTTCAAACGGTCACTAAGTGAACTGTTGTAAGTCGAGGACTACCTGTAATGTCTTTACAGTTCAGATTTCTGTAATGATTATACAAAAATAAGGTTAAGAAAGAATTATAAAATACTAAAGAAAGGTTTTTTTTAGATTGTCCCTCTTCTTCTAATCACTCTTTATAGCAAAGAGCATGTTTGATTTACAAAAATCCTAAAAAGAAGGTCCTGGTGTAACCCTTTTGAACGAGGCAAATTTAGGATCTGTCTAAAACTTCATTAGTACTACCCAGCTTTTACGGTAGGTTATGGAATGGTAGCTACAAAGGGCTCTGGAAGAAGAAATGTGAACCCTTTCCTAATCAATATTCACACTTGAGCATGGGACAGAAATTCCTCATTGGTTGCTCTTGTTGATGAGCAAATGGTGGGACTTAAGACAGAGAAAGACCAGCCGCTGAATCTCTTGACAGGAGTCAATCCCCATCCAAAATATGCTTTTATTTGGTCTGCAAGGATTAGTACTATTTCACTCATTTCTGAGTGGCTGGTTCTAGTCACCATACTATGGGAATAAGAGGTTGAGCCCTCAGACATTTCATTATGGAGGACTCTTATGGAAGTAAAATGAACCTCAGAAAGATAGTGAATAGATCTGAAGCTGGCTGAAGCAAGGGAAACAGAAAGGCAGCTGTATTTCTAGCCATTTCTACTCATAAGAGTTATGAATAAAAAGTAGCCAAGTAAAATTTCAAACTATAAGAAGGCTTATAATTTCATTATGGATCTTAATAGAATTTAATAGCCCCCATGCACTCATTTGCAATGCTTTATCTTGCCATTTTCACTCTGAAATTCATTCTTCTGCTAACAATAATACATAACTGGATTCTCATGGCAGAAAAAGCAATCTAAGTATGGTGGAGATGGAACAACGTTACGAAAGAGGAGTGCAATATCCACACCATTCTGCTACCTGCACTGAAAATATTGACTGCAGAAAAATAGCAGCCATTAGAGTATTACTAATTCAGTTAACTGGATAGCATCCTATTCAAATTTTGTCTATAAATATCAGTCACAAAATGTAATCCTCAATTTGCTGTACAAAGAACAGAGCAATAGATTCTTCCATAATATAATAAAATGTACACCAGCTGTTTCAGTTCAGCATTTATATTATAAATCAAAAGATAATCAATAATACACATAAAAAGGCTAAAAGCTATTCCAGATAATTTTGGTCTAAATATGGTAGTAAAGTTAGAAAAATAAAAAATAAGAGTGCAGTTAAAAATTTCATTTCAAAGCCATCAGACCAAAATTATTTGCATTTTACATAATCCACAGAACAGCAATGTTCCCTCAACTTATTAACTCTTGTTTCTTAATACAGAGAACAAAATAAGAAAAGGAGCCAGGTTGCTTGGTATTTTTGTTACAAGACAAAATTCAATAATAAAGTTTCCCAATGTAAGACAGAAACAAAAACCCAAGCCTATTGACCTAATCTATTAGGCTTTCCCATTTAACAGGGAGTTAGTCTCATTGAAGCTTCTTTCAAGTAAAAATGACATAATTAAGTGGCAAAATACCTGGAAAAAAAGGAGTCAGGGATCCACATTAGTGTTTGTCGTGAAGTACTGAACCTAGAAAAGACAGATGAAAAGTCAGGTTCAATCAAATAAAACTAGATATATTTTCAGTAGTAAACATAAACATGTTAAAACCTGACTTAATGAAGAGATAATTTTGGCATTTATTACAGACCTAATTATTTCTACTTTCCAACTTCATAAAAAATCAAACATGTTCATGTGGCTTGACTGCTCATTGGATGGAAAAGAAGAATTCTATTCTAGTTTCATTCTTGGCTTTCTTCAAAAAGCTGCTTTTGAAATGGAAGATAAAGGAACTTTTGATTACAGCATACAGTTCAATTCTCAAAGGGAAAGATTATATTGGGTGAGTACCAGGCCCTTGCTTGAGTTTAATTGTTTGAATCTTGACTGACAAAATGTACCTTAAAGCAATGGTAGGGAGCATTTATCATCTGATAATTTATTCCTATTATTTATTTTCAAGTTACTGGAAAAGAGTTTCTGTAAAATAGTTACCCAAAATAGCCAAGATGAAATACAAAGCGATATTACACTCTTTCCCCCTTTTCTAGTCATGTAAATGATTTAAATGTCTCTTCAATTCTAAATAATACACATACTCGCACAAATACACACAAAGGAGGCTAAGTGAACACTAGTATATCCATAACCTTACATCCATCCTAATTTATATAGCAGCCCATCTCATACCAGTGACTCTGGGTAGCCACAACATAAACCAATCGCACCATTAAATGTTGTTTCAACATTTCTTCAACAAATCCAATGAATTAGATCCATGTTGGCAAATCTATGGCACGTGTGCCAGAGGTGGCACCCAGAGCCCTCTCTGTGGGCACGTGTGCCACCACCAGCTGCTCTTCCAGGTTCTGGCGCACGCATGCACACTGTCCAGCTGCTCTTCCAGGTTCCAGCACACGCATGCATGCTAGTCAGCTGCTTTTCCGGGTTCCGGCACACACATGATCTCTTCCAGGTTCTGGCATGTGCATGCGCACCAGCCAGCTGCTCTCTTCCAGATTCTGGCACATGCATGCACACCAGCTAGCTACTCTCTTCCAGGTTCTGGCATGCATGTGTGTGCACACACGTGCGCTCCAGTTTTGGCACTGAGTGCCAAAAAGGTTAACCATTACTTATACTCACTCAGATGAGTATAATGTAGATTTCTATTTTTCACCTAACACAATATTCATATAAAAATATTGCATTGTGAATTGCTTTGATTTAAAACCAAAGATCTGTAAATAGTTTTATTAATGGGACAAGGTGCTTTCAATTGCCACCTTTATATTTAAAATGTTTACCTACAAGGTTTGTCAACGAAATGACTGATTCTTTGGTTTAAAACTAGCAACATAATAGATGCTCACACAAACCTATACTTGCTCATAGACTAAATAAATTAATCTAGGAGACACAATAACTTTGGAACAAAGAAGACAAGTCTGAGAAGTTCTCATAGCTGAGCCATACTTGAATTAGCTTTTTGGCTTCTTATGTCTGCTTCTTATGTCTGCTATAATTAAAACATGACTTGTTGTAGGAAAAAGACAGTGGCAACTAAAATCTTATCTTTGGGTTTCTCTCCCGGTCTTCTTCTCAGTAAGGGATATAATCAGGCAGAAGCACTCATTAAATAGCATATAGCGAACATAGAGCATCAATTAGACCTATCCAGGTCCCCAACCTTTATTGCCAGTGAATCCAATAATCCAACTGTCTTCCCTATCACATAATCTTGAAGCACTGTAAACAAAGAAAGTCTTTAGTTTGGCACAGGGAATGGCCTTTTCTCAGTTCTCCCTGACTAGAGGGATAATGACCCTAAGACTGGATACAAAAAAAAACAACAGTGTGTGCTTCTCCAGTGCCTGCATTCCAAAGACATTTGTATTAGCCTCATCTCATAATTACTGCATAAATTTTATAAATAAATAAATAAAATGCCTAGGGTGCACAGGACAATTCTACACCTCCCTTCTGTTTTCAAATACTAGCCTTCCTACAACATAATGCTAGGTTCTGCATAGCCAGAGCAGCATTTAAAATCCTTCAGACTTGTGTCATAAACTATTTTAATGGGCACTCAGCTCATCATACTACAGTGCTTTATAATATGATCTATTTAGCTTTCCACTTATTAACCTTTATCCCCTACAATCATCTCTTACCCTTCCTTTTAGATTCCTTTTAGGCGTTTGTTTTTATATATACTTTTGGTTTAATATATTTTAGTTTCTTATAATTATTATTTTTAGATTCTGATGTATTTTTATGCTTTCTACTTGACTGTACCCTACTTTTCATATGCTGGTCTTTGGCCATAATAATGATTTGATTTTAATATGTATGAACACCATTGTTGAATTATCACATTGTACAAATATTTGGTAACAAAGAAGATACTTTGAATTTTACAATGAAAATTCAAGTAATCCATTGATTCACCCTCAGATTACTTTCACCACTATTTTCGTTGTTTGTCCAAGGCAGCCTTCCTCAAGGAAAAATACAATAGATTTTAAAAGGTTAGAAATATGTAGGGAAGTGTGTGGTACTGTGAACTTTATGCAACAATAATTAACCCTGCCCTGAAATAAATCATTTAAAATATTAAGGATGATAAGCATGTAAATAAATAGACACAAAGCTAATTTCTTTTTATTTTATGTTTATATGGTAAAAGAGAGACACTTCTTTCTGCATGACTCTGAAGACAGCATGTACTATCCAAGCAACTTGCAAATACAAGAAACTAAATCTAAAATTTCACAAAAATTATCAGTTTCATTAGCTAAAAAGTATAACAAAATATGCCTTAATGATATAAATATATATTTTTCAAAATGTAAATGCACATATTAATGATTGATTAAACAGAGACCAAAGTATGAGGACATATAATCCATGATGGAAATTAGGACATAACTTTTGTTTTTACTCACAAAACCAAAATAACAAAACTTTAAAATTTTTCCTTAAAGTTAATGTTTAAAATAATTATGGCTATTATTTGTAACAAAAGCCTGTTGTTAGCAAAATATATGGTAAAAATACATTTTTTAAAATGCATTAAGTATGATTTTGAATCCTTTCTTCTTCTTCTCTTACACCAACCAAAATCTACCCAGAATCTCTCTAGCAATTTGGGAAAGAGGGAAGAACAAATGTGGGGCATAGGACAAAAAGATGGGAAACTTTTTTTAACTTAAACTTCCTTAATTTAAATCAAGCTAAACAAGCGCTTTGTGTAATGAGAGTGTTAAAGTCCTACAGGATTTATTCTTATTATGTTTATTTTATATTTAGAAAGTGTATACCATTTAATGTGTTTACCTTCTCTATTTCTTGTTGTGCCATAATTATATCTGCAATTATAACCAATTTTTAGCTTTCTAGCCGTCCTGATTCATGCACACATTAGCCATATGATAATATGTCTAAACAATCTATTCTTTTAATTAAAGCTTTTGTATCTAACTTGGAGAGCATATATATATATATATATGTGTGTGTGTGTGTGTACACACACACACACACACACACACACACAGAGTATATGTTTTGAATCACATGTTCTCCTTCAAATTGGGATCACTGTACATACCCTGGCTTCTTCCAATTGTGACATGCATGTTTTATCTATTTTTTCTTCATAAAGATTGGTACATTCTCTGAAGCACTTCAATTTACATCATCTGAAATGAGCATTGTATTCTATTATTCTTTCGATAGGAAAATTAAGTATACTGACACGAGATTTCAGTATCATGATACTGAATCCCTCAGCAATCTTAAGTAGGTCAGCAACTATCAATGATGTGGTAATGCTTTGCTTGTGCAGAAGACCATACAATCACCATATAATACCCTAATAATACTACTCAACATGAATTAACAAATAACTGTAGAATACCCTCAACCCCATACTAGCTTCCAAAAAATTGACCAAGGAATTTCTTCATGCTAACATATTTCTATACAAGCATCATTTCAGTAATAAGTACTAAACTTAAGCAGATTAGTTTAAGAAAATGTTGACTAGAGATATGTTAAAACATGGGTGTGATTAATCTTAAGTCACATTTTAAAAATGACTTGTTAGATTACTTTAAAAATTGATCTTTTAAATAATGTTCTTATTACTCCACAATAAAAAGGGAAAATAGATGAAAAAACTACAGAGGAACTACTTTGTTAATTGTGTCTAGGGTGATGTTTGGCAAAATTCAGATTAAAAAACTACAACAGGAAAATATAAGGAAGGACGGTGCTTCTCACAGGGCGCATGCCATCCAGATTTTTGTTGTCCCTAAATAATTGACAAGTGTATGATTGTGAGAAAGTTTACACTTAGTTTTTAAAAAGCATAGGATAAAATGAGTAGGTTTTCTACTTTATTTTGCCCTGGTTAGAACCTACTGAGGAATTTTATCCAGTTCTGGCTAGAATTATAAAGGGTGAGGATAAAATGAAACAGATTTAGAAGAGGATTACTAAAATGGTAAGGGATCTGGAAATTAAGCCTTATAAAGAATAGGTATATTTAGCCCATATAAAAGATAATTGAGGAAATATATTTTCAAATAGCTGAAGTTCTGCCACACAGAATAGATAGTTATTATATTATCTATTGGAAGTTACAATACATTTAATTATCTCAGGCGTATAAAAATAAACTGAATGCAGCAAGAGTGGGACATTTTAAGAAATACAGATAGTCCTCAACTTACAATCACAATTGGGACCAGAATTCTAGTCATAAGTCATTGTGGTCATTAAATCAAGGCACCACATGACCAGGTCCATTTTTTTCAACCATTTTTTACGGCAGTTATTAAGCAAATCTCACAGTCGGAAGTCTGAATCCATTCTCCCAAATAGGCATTTTTTGGCTGCTCAACAACTGGTCATAAATCAAAGGCTACCTGTATTTTTGGTAAAACAAGAGATAAATGTCAAAACCAACATGAATATAAATTCAAAACAAAAATGATCAGTACAAAAAGTGTATGCTGAGATAGATTTGTCATGCAGACAGAAAGACATTCAATTACATTACAAAATAGATGCATGAAGGAAGAGTGAAAGAGGGGAAGGATGCATGGATATAAGAAAAACAAAGATGCTTCTGGACAATAACCGCCCAGAATCATTGGGATTCAGATGGTGCATGCATTTAATTATTAAGAATAATAGGACATGAGTGAATGGTATGGTTGTAAAACAGATTTACCTATTTTTTTCATTTCCTCATGTCATGCTTATTATTTCTTACTCCTTTTCTATGCTTTGAATAATGCAGCTTATCCACAAGAGAATAGTATAATCAGCATGTATAGTATTCATGCATGTTAAACTCAATAGGAAAGAACTTGGCAGAACTTCCTGGAATCTTGATTCAGCATGTCTCAATTAGGCTCTAAGCCATACTTAGCTTAAGGCTCTCTGACATACTCCCTAGCATAGTTAGCATAACAATCTTTAATGCATGTTAGGAAGAAGCCACCAAAACTGATTATCTTTTGTCAACAAGAACTGCAATTCCCGCTTTTTTAATATATTGCTATTATATCTAATTCACTTATGGTACTTCTTTCTCCCATCTTCACCTAGTTTAGAAGAGAGTATTGTCCTGCACTTTTTGGCACTGAAGTTGGCTACTGATGTAACTGACATCTTTGTCCTGAAAAACAGGGCTCTCAATTTAATCCCCCATTAATTACTTACTTATTTTCAGAAGTAATAATTGGACAAGATCAAGACTCCAATTATAAGGCTTCTGTTTGAATACGGATATCATTATATACTTTAAAAAAAAAAGATCAGCTAGATGAGCCTTAGGTTTATATGGCAGTCTCATAATCATATGAGGTCTCATAATCTTTACATCATATTCATCTGAAACAACCAGATTAGTGTACATGTCACAACCATTTGCACGGATAGAGCCACCCAGATGATGCTTATCTTGTAGTATTATGACACAAGAATATAGATCTAATACCTGAATTTTCTTTATTTTTACTAAGACCCAGCTGAAATCATTGTCCAAACACAGATCACACTGAAAATGATTCACTCTGTGCAGACCTGTACTATTTATTTTGTGATAGCAATTTTAGTTGGGTACTATATAAAAGAGAATCCATGAGGAATTAGAACCACATACCTGCATAAGGCATCACAAAAAGTATCAGGATAGCAACTAATGGCTCATTCATAACATGGATACCTGTTATTTGTCATTGGTTTCAGCTGGGTCTCATGTCTATCGTCTCAATCACCCAAGTCATGATTGTTCCAAAAAATACTTTTTCCAAGAGGCAACTCCTTTCAAAGGCAACCCCTTTGAAAAGGTTTCATTTCTCATCCAAGAAGCTTCTTCGGCTCTGTTCAGTGAAATGTTTTTGAAGAAAAAAAAAAAACACCAAGAAAGTTCAGTTGCCTTTAGCGCCTTTGGGACAACTGAGTCCCATGTGGAAAAACAATCGTTATTCTACACTTTAGAGCCATCTATCTTTTGTGTCACAAAAATCAGTGACCCCCCCCCCTCCCGGGCTGAAAATGGCTTGGCTCATCGGTGGTTTGATACACTTTCATGAAATGTCACTGTAGAAAAAACAGTGACAACTTAATGAGTACAGATTTATGTGGTATAATAAAAGCATAGAATCTTGTGGCCCTTTTTAGTTAGTTTGTTTGTTTATTATTTATTGTTTGCTTGTTTTTGTTTATTATTTATTTATTTATTATTTTGGTTTGAGAAAACAAGTATAAGTACGACTATAACATATAAACATACAGTATAAGTATAAGCAAGTATACGGATATACATAAGAAATTAGTGCAAATAAATGGGAACAGTAGGACACGGACGGTAGGCACGCTGGTGCACTTATGCACACCCCCTTTATGGACCTCTTAGGAAAGGGGTGAGGTCCACACTAGACAATTTAAGGTTAAAGTTATAGGGGTTTGAAGATGTAACAGCAGAGTCGGGTAGAGCATTCCAGGCATTGACAGCTCTGTTGCTGAAGTCATATTTTCTGCATTGGAGTTTAGAGCTGTTTACTTTGAGTTTGTATCTATTTTGTTGACAGGTAGGACCTTGTAGCAGACAATTTTGTGTACTCAGCTTAGGTCAGACAGTAGTTCTAGGTTGTCCAGCTCCAAAATTTCAAGCCTGGTGGCGAAAGGTATTCTGTGACGAGTAGAGGAGTGGCGGACTCTTTTCGTGAAATACCTTTGTCCACTCTTAAAGCAAATGATTCCTTTAAGTTCTGTTATTCGTTTATGAGAAGCCCTTAGGCGAATCTATAGCCAGAACTGAGCCTCCTGACACATAGAGCAGATTCCTTGCAGCATCGGTTATTTGAAGCAGCGATTCGGTCAGTCTGGGGAAGGACAGCCAAGGCTTTCTTTTCCCAGGCCCGTCTCCACTGAAGGCATCCGCTCCTCCATGCCATCACAACAGCCGCCGCCCCCCACCCCTCGCCATCAACCGCCAAGATCCCTTCCAGGCACGGCTTGCCCCACCCACCCCTCGTTCCGTGCTCGAGCTCACCTGGTGCCCCCGACGTTGAGCTGGATGATCTCCCCGCTGCCCGCTCCGGCAAAGCCCGCGCCGTTCCCCGCCATTTTCCCCAGCAGCAGATCTTGCCCCGAATACCGCCTGTCGTCGCCGCCGCCGCCGCCTCCAGCCGCCTCCCCGGAGTCGAGGGAGGTGGGAAAAGGAGGCGGCGGCGGGGCCGGGGGAGAAAACGGAGCGTCCAGCGAGGCCGTAGAGCCTTCCGCAGCAAGCGCTAAACTGCCAGGTCGGGGATCGGAGAGGAGGAAGAGGAGGCGAAGGGTCGATCTCCCTCTCTCCGGTCAGGCATCCAGAGCCCCCGCCGATGCACCGCCCCCCCCTCCCTCCTCTGGGCCGCCGCGGTTCTCTACGGCAAAAAAAAAAAAATCCTAGCAACGCGCGGCACCTGGAGGAGGGGACTCCGCGAGGGACAAAATACCAGCGTTGGTTGCGTCTTCGCGAGAGCTCAAACGGAAGGCGGGAATATGCAAAACAAGCCCAAAACGAACGCTCGGAAGGGAGGGACGCGGAAGAGAATCGACAAGATCTGCTTTGCCCGGCCTGTTCGTTCAAATTAGGCTCGGGCCGCTCTTTAGGCTCTCGTTTTGGTAGCTGAATCGTACCCCTTAAGCTTCTGCAACTTTGCCGTCTGCCAGCCGACTTGGATTTCCTTTCCTGTCAGCGTTACCGAATTTAAAACCCAATGCATCTGCAGGGAGTTACTTGATGAAACTTGTTCTTAACAGGATAAATCCCCCTCGTTTCCGGTGTACGTTTCGATGAAATCCAGTTGCTGATATATATTTTTACTTGAATTCCTCGGCAAAGAAGAAAAACACCTCACAAGTGTACATTTTTCAATCAATCTTTTATTACAGCCACCGACCAACACACAGTATACATTTTTGTAAAGTTGTTAACTGTGGGTTTACGCTCATCTAGCTGCATTGGCAGCACCGTTAAGCAAATAATTTTTGATCAGGGCGTGATTGTTTCAAGGGTATATTGTTACACTCAAATCCAATAGTATATGAATTAGAATAGAATATGAATTAGATTAGAACGTTCCCTGTACAGTACAAACATGCATACATGTGGGAAATTCTGGTCCTTCACATGTTGCTATACTACACGCGAACACCCAACTACCATATCATAACACTAATGCTTAGAAGAAATGGTATAACATTGAAAAGTCTACATTTCTAACCACATTCTGAATATTTTTTGCAACCTTTCAAAGTCTTACTAAGTTACAGTTTAAAATTTGAGAAATATAAAACTCAATGGACCATTGTGAGTTTTGCCACCCCATTCCAGTTTTTTCATTGCCACCAGTTTACATAGACAGTTACATAGCAAGCCAGGGCTAAACTTTAAAATGCCATCAAGTTTTTCATCCTTTTAAGAATAGGAATCAATATTATAACCTAATGTAAAACCTGAAAGTCCTCAATCATCTGATCGATTTTCTCTGTTGCTATGATATTACATGAAGAAGCAAACATTTTCTTTATACATTTTTACATTTCCTTTTTTGTTTTGTTTTGTTTAGAGCAATTGCCTTCATGGTTGTGAATTGACATTGTTACAATGGTATTGACATATGGATTGACATATTGTTACAATGATGGACAGATGTAGATATCCAAGTTTCAGGTAATAATGTGTCCATGTATTTCTGGACAACTTTCACTGAATTAATGAGAACGTAACTGTACAATTTTTAGCATATTTCTAATTTTGCAGTTGCATAATAAACATAGAAAATAGAGGGGAAAATTGCACCTGCCTCGCTTTTGCATGTCTAGTTTTTAACAATGAATAATTCAAATGTCTTGTTTTGAAAATATCGGTAAATTTTGTTTGAACTTTGCAGGGCAGAGATATATCATTGCAAAAAATGAGACTTGTGGATGTGTATATTATATCAAAAATCAAGGGAGCCATTCCCATCAAGTTAAAGCTTGTCCACTCTTATTGCCATGGGATTTACAGCTCTTAATAATGATCTTTATCCTGTCTCTTTTGCAGCTGCTCCAGATCACTGCCAAATAATGCTACCCTGATTATATGTATTCGGCTAGTCATTGGCAAAGCATCTTCTTGATTCCTCTTCCCTGCTTTTTTTAGTGCATCTGCAGTCAACTGACAAAATAGCTGGAAATCACATCACCGTCAGGTATCTGGGATAGATCTCAATGCAGAACTTAGTCCAGTATAGCTAAACTTCTTATTTTGCTCCCCTATACTTCCTCCTGTCATGTCCTGATTTTTTTTTAAATGGACCACAGTCAAAAGAGAGCTGTCACAAGAAGTCTTTCTTTTTTCATTTAAGAATTCTCTTTCCTTCCTTCCCTTTCTTTATCTAGGTAATAAGTACCAATTTTCAATTTTTCCATTTCTTTTGGCAAACAGTGTTTGTGTCATTTAACTATTTTGGTATTTCAACCTTACACTAAACTAGTAAAGGCTACAGAGGCAAAGCAAGTTTGAACAATTGAGCTTTGTTATATGGTGTGATATAGATGTGTCTTGCTTTTCCATGTAGTTATGGCAAGCTGGTCAAAACAATGCAAAGAGAGCCCCTTTCCTAAAAATGCAGTTGGATCACTCTTGCACAAATCCAAAGGATTACTAGAACAGTTTCACTACAGTAAAATGGCGATCAACAGTGCTGAGCAGAGGTGAAAGGGGAAGTGGAATGTCTGTTGAAGCCTGAAATATCTAGTAAACACCTCTTTCATCCCATACTCTTGGTTTAAGGGCACAAACAGTAACCCTGTAGTAGTTACTAAAACCTGTGTACTAATTGGCTGGGGGTGATACTAGAAACAATATGACAATTGTTAAAGTAAGTGAGGCGGGGTTTAGAGATTAGGAAAATAAGACAAGTAAAATATATAGAGAAATTATATATAAAAATCAATGACTCAGTGGCTAAGACTCTGAGCTTGTCGATCAGAAAGGTCGGTGGTTCAAATCCCTAGCGCCACGTAACAGAGTGAGCTCCCGTTACTTTTTCCAGTTTCTGCCAACCTAGCAATTCAAAAGCATGTAAAAATGCAAGCAGAAAAATAGAAACCACCTTTAATGGGAAGGTTACAGCATTCCATGCATCTTTAGTGTTTAATCATGCTGGCCACATGACCACAGGGACGTCTTCAGACAGTGTTGGCTTTTTGGCTTTTAAACGGAAACGACCACTGTCCCCTGAAGTCAGGAACGACTAGCACATATGTACGAGGGGAACCTTTACACATACATACATACATACATATATACATACATACACCCAGAACTGAAGTGTGAAAATATGGTTCTCAAAACTGAAAACAGTATGTATTAATAAGGCTGCAATTTCAGGAAAACATTCTTTTTTTGGAATCTGCAGAAAATCACATTGGTACCAAAATGACACACAAGCAAAAGTAACATGCAGTATAGTGGTGGGATTCAACTTTTTTTACTACCGGTTCTGTAGGCGTGTCATGGCTTGGTGGGCACTCCATTCCCACCCCACTCCAGGGGAAGGTTACTGTAAAATCCCCATTTTCTCCCAATCAGCTGGGACTCAAGAGGAAGAGAATAGATTGGGACGGGACCAGTCAGAGGTGGTATTTACCGGTTCTCCGAACTACTCAAAATTTCCACTACCGGTTCTCCAGAACTGGTCAGAACCTGTTGAATACCACCTCTGATGCACCATTGTGTACTTGTGTCCTGCTCTATAGCATTTGGCATGGCATATGCATAATGACATCATCCATGTAACATCATTCGCTAATCTTGCCGCCCACAAAAATATCCACAGTACTGTACTGAAACTCTTGCAAACTGCAAAACATTTTTGCAATCAAATTCAACTATGTTTGGAGCAGTACATTCAGTAATTCAATATATTGGGGTTTGGATGCCAGGAGAATTAACACAATTTGAATGATGTATTCTAATTTGCAAAAGTGAATAAATTGATAGTTTGATGATAGTTTATCTTTAAATTGTAGTCAATTGTATCCAAATTATTCAGGAATTTTAAAGCAACGATAAACTTTCTCCCCCAAAACTTAGAATCATGTACTATGCAATAAATTATCCTGGATTCTGATATCATACTAAACCATTTATGGATGATTTGATTACTTAAACAAACTAGAAAACCAAAGTAAGCCTGAATGTCAATATAATAGGCCAATATTCTACTTTATGTGATGTGAAAAAATGGCCATTATGTTTATGCAGAAAATTAATCTTCACCACTTCTGGTCTGCTGCTACTGTTGTTAATTTTTTGTTGCACTTCAAAGTCCAGTACAGAGTAGTATAATGCAAGTAAAAGGGTGGGGTGGGGCATCTCCGTTTTTGGAAAGTCATATGTTTTCAACAGAACTATAGGCAACTAACATGATGCAATATTAACATTTGCCCACTAGATGGGTATATTGTTCTGGGATTGTAGTGAATGATTTCAGTTAACCTTTTATGCGTTTTCACAGCTGTATCCTTTGATCACTTGTTATATCACAATGAAGGAAAGGCCAAATACCATGTTTCGAAGGGGAAAAAAACATTAATCCTGCTTCCTAGAAATTTAGTTTCTATAAAACAGAATTAATTACATTGATTATTTAGTTGATAGTAAAAAAATGTTGTCAGGCTCAAACCTGATGAAACTGTTATGATGTAGCAAACATCTTGATATTTGTGAACATTCCATAAATAAGTACTGTTTTCAATCAATAGAGCTACAGTATTTACAATAAAAAAAACCTAGAAATTTTTCTTCTAAGTTTTCATAACTATTCAATGACAAATTTGTATCTATTTTTCCTAATTTTACTGGATTGATCTTCATATAAATATTTTTGTCTAGTCCATCTATTGCCCAGGTGATACTGCATGAACCTATACAAGTTACATAAATCACATGAGCCAGTAACAAATACCTGTAACACCACAAAACTGAATTTTGAACTAGCCGTATTAGACTTTCATTTACATTTAAAAAAATACTCCTTTGACTCTCCCACTACTTTTCTGGACTAACAAGGTGATACTACTTATGTATAATTATTTTTTTAATGGATTTTTAGGGTCTGACTATTATCCTTTTTTTCTTGCATATTCTCTTGGTTTTCCATTCTAATAACACTTTACTATGCATATCTACTTAAGAGAACTGAATGGGATTCAGGACTACAGTTGAGGAGACATATATAACATGTATAGATTAATGCTATAAAACTGTTAGATTTTAATTCCAAGGTCAAATCTGGTAC